GTTTGGCTGTGAAGTGTTTGGCAAACTGTCCATGATGAGTTTTTGACACTCACTCAGGTTGGAAATTCGGGGTGGCAGAGTGGTGTGGTAACCCGCATTTGGCTTAAAGTGTTAGTTCAGTGTTTACATTTTCACAAACTACAATGTTAGATTTATGCATAAAGAAAGAAAAGAATTCAAAATCAAGTTGTGCATTTCAAGGAGTTTTGCTAATGCTTTTAAAAAAGAAGCAAATGGAGGGTTACAGAGAGAGACCTGGAGAGGGAGGCTGGAGCCCTGGGATTGATTCCCATCTCTGCACTGCCTGGGGTGTGACCTGAAGCATGGGAATTCCTCTGCCAGGGCCTCTATTTTCTCAACTGTCAAGTGAGGAAGTTGGCCTGGAAGATGTCTGATGCTTGTTCTAGGTCCAACAATCGAGGACCTGTTGGATGCCAACTCAGTGGAATTTGTTGGCTCTGGGGTTTGTTCTTGGGGACCGTCAGGGATTGAGAAACCTCTTGGAGCTCTTGCTCCTAGAATGACCTCTGCTGCTGACCAGAGGCCTGAACTGGAAGGACTGAGTCCCTTTGTTTTCTGGATTCACTTGCAGACAAACGGAGTCTAAGCTGTCCTGGCAATAAGGAAAACATGGCCCCATAGGACCTGGGCTTTGAGGAAACAGATCGGGTTCTATTTGTTTTGCAGAAATACATCCAGACCTTAACTATCTCAACTCCCAGTGTGGTTTCTAAATCTTGGCTCTTGGAGATCAGCCTATCCAACCGCCTTATTTTATAAATAGGGGAAGTGAGGCCCAGGTAGGGGGAGTGACTTGCCCAAGGTCGTAAAGGACAATGTGTAGAGCTGAGGTAGGACCTTGTCCTCCTGGTTCAGGGACTGCCTTCCTATCCACACTGTGCCATGGAACTTAATGCAGGCGTGGCCAGGGCTGGGAGATATCCTGAGCCCTCCTGGAGGGAGGGGCCGGGATACGTGGAGCGATGTGAAGCCCTCATCTCACCTCTCCTGGAGTCAAGCAGGTCAGAGATGGAGGGGCCCTCAGATAGTGTCTAGCCCTGTGGCCCCCATCCTGGGAGGAGCTGGCAGTGAGCCCGAGCCAGGAAAATCCTCATCCCCTGCGTGATGGTTATTTGGAGGTGGGGCCTTTGGGAGGTAACAGGGTCATGAGGGTGGGGCCTTGTGATGGGACTATACTTCCCATAGAAAAGCATCTCGCTCTTTGCTCTCCACCAAAGGAGGAAACAAGAAGATGGACATCTACAAACCAGGCAGGATGCCCTCCCCAGTTACCAAATCTGCCAGCACCTTGATCATGGACTTCCCACCTCCAGAACTGTGAGAAATCAGGGTTTGTTACTTAAGCCCCCAGTCTGTGATAATTTGTTACAGCAGCCGGAGCTAAGACATTAATCTCAGACAACCTCTTCATTTTATAGATGCATAGACTGGATCCCAAAGAGGGCAAGTGACTTTTTTCAAAGCTATGCAAGACCCCGGATATTCCGCCAAACCCTTATCAGTCTGTCTCCCCGTCCCACTCCCTTTCTAAAGGGTCAGAAAGTTCTCCACCCTTACTGGTGCACCCAGAGAAGGCTTCAGCCACTCCACCGTCTGCCAAGGCACTGGAATGCTTGTAGTCAGGAGGACTTGAAAGATTTCCTGTTTTCAAAAAGCTGAGATCGAAAAGTGCTGTCATTTTCTTTAAATACATTCTTTTGAATAAAACATCTATTCCGGATGCCAGCAGCAAGCTTCGAAACATGTTCAAGATGACATGATTGATAACAAGAAGGCTTTTTCAAGATGTTTCTAATTTCATCTTCCCGGTTAAAGAATGCGAACTCTCTCACATGATGTATGGCCCAATAAGAAGGTGTGCTCTGACCAAAGTTATTTATTTATGCTTCCATCTTTGACAGATGAATATTAACTACCGAGGAAATCATAAAGCCAATTAGTAAAAGCTGAATAATGTCCACGTGAAAACGCGAGCGTGGAAACACAAGTTACTTCTCATCCGAACAGCAGAGCACAGACATTCTCTGCCTTCCTCTGGGAAGCCAGGGCCAGGCCAGGCAGGGCACAGTGGCTCCTCTCCCTCCAAGGTGCCCTCAGGTTGACCATGATGATGTCCAGTCCGGGAGCTGATTCTGGGATGCTCAGGAGAGAGTCACCCTGGCTGTTGAATTCCCCCCATGTGGGGCCTGCAGAAAAAGTGCATCTCTGCCCGTCCTGCTACTCAGCCACTGACCTCCAGCACTGAGGGCAGATGAGGAGACCAGGGAGAAGCAGAGCTCCAAAGACAGGCTCTACTTCCAGGGGGAAGCCTACTGCAAGGCAAATGCGGGTAACAAACCCCCAGTCCCACCTCCTCCTCACCTCCTCCTGTTCCTGTCTGTTCTTTGTGCCAGTGTTGCTCCCAGGAGCTGCAGTCCACAACTCTTCAGTGAGCACCTACCACGTGCCAGGCACCAGCAACACAAAGCAACACCCCTGCTCTCACGGGGCTCCCAGGCCAGAAGGAGACCCAGAAGGACCCCTCCAGGGACTTGGGAGGGTGCTCATATGCTGGGACAATGCTGTTCCCCCCTCCTCGAGTCTGCCTTGTCTCTGAAGCTGAAAAAGGGAGGTGGGGGTGGGGGCTGACGGCAGCTCCCCAAATTAACAAGAGGTTAATTTCCCCCACACATGCTGTGAATGTTGTGCTCTGCCTCCAGAAATGAAGAACAAACCACCTGAGCTTTCACTGGGATGCTGTGAATTATTCTTTCCCCCAGCACCCTGGGCACCAATCTGTCCCCTTGCATTTTGTCGCCCACTGCTAATTTTTAAAAATTTCTTGACAACTGCTTGTACCACATTAACATGACGCTACCACAGTTCAGTTCAAAAAAGCAGTGGTCTTTCAGGTGTAGAAGGAGGTCCCTCATCACCCTTCTTCCCCTAACATCTTTAGCCAATCATCAGATCTGCCTGGAAACTGGCATGTAGGTTTTACCCATTGCAAATACCTTGTCTTTAAAGAGAAAGGCCCCTCTCCAACCTGAACCACCAATGGTACCTAAAAACCTAGCAGGGTTTTCATTACCCTCTGTCCCCTGACCTCGCCTTGTCTACCGGCCTCATTAGAGTGTGGAAATAGGTTTTGCATTAAGACTCCCCTGCCCGCTTGCTGAAGATTCCCAGATGATACAGCTGGTTACGAGAAGGCACAGAGGTCAGTTCCAGGGTTGTAGGATCCTAGCATATCTGAGCTGGAAGGAACCTTGGGACGGTCCCATGCTAGCCCTTGACTGTTTCCTTTTCCAGAGAAGGAAATGCCTCCGCTCACAGCAGCATCAGTGTCAGGGCTGGGGCGGGAACCCCTCTGCTCTTGGCCGCTAGATCGTTTCCCCCAAACCACAGCACCCTCCACATTCAAGTTTGCTCACTTTCTGGCCCCAATTTACCAGCCTGGGATTTAACACCCTAAATAAACTGTGCAGAATTCCTAGGAACTCTTCAAGAATCCAGTCCCACATGTGTGATGAAAAACACCAGAAAGTACAGACAAGATGTTCACACATGCGATTGTGGACAGCACACCTCTAAGCCCCTCCGGACTAAAATATTTGATATTGTGGATGATCTGTTCTTCCAGAACAGAGTACACAGAACTTCAATTTCTCCCCAATGTGCACGTAGGACTTTGCAAAGTTACAAACTGTTTCTCATGGCCAAAAGGATCAGTCTCCCTCTACCTCCACCTAACGAAACACAAGAGGTCCAAGAGATCATTTGCAGCCCGAGGAACCCACCATGAAGCTGGATGCAAATCTTGCTCTTCATTAGTCAGCTGGATCTTCTTTGAGAAGGATTTCATCATAACATGATTTGGATGAACCCAGAGAGTAATATTAAAACCATAAACCATGTAGAAGTACACAGAATGGCAGGCGCAGAAGACAAGTATGGAACGCTGAATGTTATTACCACGCTCCAAATGTAGTGCCACAATGTCTAACCGCAACTCACCATGTTAACTATCAGACTGTTTAGGCATCTTTACTTCTAGTCGGGAAAATAAAGTTGCCTCCTGTCATGTTGGACAGTCTGAGTATCTATCTTACATCAAAGACAACAAAGTATGTAATTTTGCATGTTCCTGTACCCGTCATTTTAGTACAAAAGGATTTCAAACTCAAATGTAATACTCTTGTTCAGAATGGCATTTGTGAAAATCACAGCAGAGCAGCAAATGAAGATCATTACATGATACATGCAACTTGTCTTGCCTTTTTTTTCCCCCAGTAAGACTGAAAGAGAGAAAAAGAGTAGATATTTATCACTGTAAGTCACTTCCTAAAGTCTGAAGAATTACCCCTTTCAGCATTGCATTTTGGTGATCAGCTCCATAAATATATAATAATCTATTAGTGGGAAATGGGACTTCTTTTATTTGTCACAGAATTTGCAAAGAATGTATCAGCCCACTGGAATTCTTCACACAGCATGGGTTCTGGGTTTGAGCTTTGATGGTGCACCAGAACCAGAGAAACGGGGCAACGGTGAAATCAGCCAGCAGAGAAAGACAAATACTATATGATCTCCCTTATATGTGAAATCTAAAGACATCAAATTCTTAGAGAGGAGAACGGTGGTTGCCAGGGGCTTGGGGGAACTGGGGAGGTGTTGGCCAAAGGGTACAAACTCCCATTTATAAGATGAATGAAAAAGTTCTTGGGATCTACGCACAGCATGAGGAAGATAGCTGACAATACTGCACTGTATCCTTGAATGCAGCTCAAAGAGCAGATCTGAAAGGTCCTCATCACAAAAAAAGAAATGGCAAGTATGTGAGGTGATGGAGATGTTAACTAACCTGATTGTGGTACTTTTTTTTACAACATATGCGTGTGTCAAATCATCACTTTGTACACCTTAAGATTACACAGTGTTATACGTCAATTATATTTCAACAGAGCTGGAAAAAAAAGATAAAGAAAAAAGAAAACAACGTGCTCACTTCGGCAGCACATACACTAAAAGTGAAATGATACACACAAGACTGGCATGGCCCCTGCACAAGGATGACATGCAAATTCACGAAGCATAGACACTAACTACTGTATATAAAATAGATGAACAACAAGGTCCTACCGTACAGCACAGGGAACTATAGTCAATATCTCCTAATGGCCTCTAATGAAAAAGAACACAGAAAGGCATATATAGATGTATAAGTGAATCACTATGCTGTACACCAGAAATCAACACAACATTATAAATCAACTATACTTCAATTTAAAAAAAAAGAGAAACAAACGAGATGGAGGTGAGTGTCAGATGACAGGGCGAAAGCATGTGGCTATTACGACTTAAGCATTGAAACTCGGGGAACTTCTACTTATGGTTCTGCCACTTACTAGGTTTATATCTTGTGGCAAGTTGCTTAATACCCGGCTACGCTTCCAATTTCTTGGTTCTAAAACCAGGATAATGATAACAATACCTCCTTCATAGACTTGTGGAAATAAACGACTAATAAACCTTAGCCGGTAGGTCCTGGATCATAGTAAATACTCAACACATGTTAGCGCTTTCTCTCTTCCTAACACCTAAGGAGTCCTTTTTCCCTGGCTCCTAATTTGTCCTTGGTATCTTCTCCTTTGGCTTTTCAAACAGGAAAGTTGTCACATCTCATGAAATTGTCGGGTCAAAATCTATACGCGTGGTTAAGATTATTAACGATTCCAAATTGCCCTTCAAAAACACTGGTATATTTTACATTCCGTAGGCACACAATGCTGACAAGTGAGACCAATAAGTAATTTCAAAGACCATGAAACCCTTACTAAGTGCACAGAAGCGTTTGATGTGTATTTATTTTCAGTGATAGAAAATGTAATTGTATTGACAGCTATGAGAATTGTTCATATATATACACACACATATATATACATATATATATAAAAATATAAACACACACACATATACATATATATATATATGAAAAAACTACCTCGGTTACTCTACTCCAAAAAAAAAAAAAAGAATGGGGCAACGATACCAAGCCCTTTAACCTCTCTCCCTTCATTCATTCGTCTTGACCTCACCAATATTCCCCTGAAAAATAGAGGCCATCCATCCATCAAGTTCCTGCATTGTTCCTTATCAAATCCACCCTCTCCTTTTTCCTTCTACTCACTGCTCAGGAGAGGCTCTGTGCTTCCCACAGACTGGTCACTGCACATATCTCTGGACCTCGCTGTCTCTAGCCTCTGATCTGCCTCCAAATGTTCACGTGTCCAGATCTCCCTCCCTGCGTCCTGCATCACCCACGACTCCCTCCCTGTCCCCGCAGCATCAGTACAAAAACACACACCTGAGCCTCCAATCTTGCACCCAGAACTCTCTCTTGTCCCCACACCCCCATCTTCTTCTCAGAAGATGTCCTCACTCCAGCTCTGCTCCTGCACCACCTGCTCACGAACAACCCACTCCACTGGGGCTTCCACCCCCACAGCTCCATGGAAACCACCTCTTCTAAAGTTACCACAGAACCTCCTTCTCTGCTCGGATCTGAATGTTGGTACGCCTAACGCTCAGCCCCCACCTGCTCAACACTGACCATACCTGAGTGTGCAGCCCCAACAGCTTCAACTGCAGGCCCCTGCACCCTGCCTTCTCTGGTCACTGGAGTGTGCTCAGCTCACACAGGCAGACCAGACGTGCCTGCCAGGTGTTGGTACCTCCTGGAAGCAGCTCTCAACCCATGGCTGATAGGAATTGGTGGATAAATGCCCCAGTTCCCTCGCTATTTTGGAGGAATAATCTCGAGGCACGTTCTACAATATCTACCAGAGTTCCCACCCTGGGTTGAGCCCTGATATGACTATTTAATGCTCTCGTGGCTAGGGGTTGCTATGGACTGAGTTGTGCACCCCCCTCCAAATCCGTATGTTGACGTCCCAACCCCAATGTGATAGGATTTGGAGATGGGGTCTTTGGGAGGTAGTTCGGTTTGGATGAAGTCATGAGGGTGGGGCCCTCCTGATGGACTTAGTGTCCTTATAAGAAGAGACACCAGTTGTATCTCTCTCTCTCCCACTCTCCCCCTTCCACTCTCTCCCCCCTTGTAAGGACACAGTAAGGAGGTGGCCGTCTGTAAGCCAGGAAGAGAGCTTTCATGCATCATGCTGGCATCTTGAACTCAGAACTTCCAGCCTCCAGAACTGTGAGAAATAAATTGCTGTTGTTTAAGCCCTCCTTTCTATGGTATTTTGTTATAGTAGCCTGAGCTAAGACAGGGTTAGGAGAAACAGAGACTGAAGAGACTAAAGCCCCCTGGTTCAAGGGGTGAGGTCCAGCCTGGAGATATGAACCCATGAGGGACACAGACAAATTGATGAAGCAATAAAAGGGGGAAAGATACTTTCTATCTCACAAGGTGATGGTGAGGAAGGAAGGAGATGCCTCACATCCTCTGCTCAGCTCTGTGCCAGGGCACATAGCAAAGGCTTGGTAAGTGGGACTGTTCTTACTGTTCTTATGTGCAGAAGGTGGATACGTTCTTAGAATTATAAAATCTCAGACAGACCATCCAGCTCCTTTGCAGACAGGGAAACCAAGGCTAAGGCAGGAGCACTGACTTGCCTGGCATTTCTCTGCCACGAAAGATTGTTTTCACAAGATTTATAGACCCACAAATAAGAAGGCAGGTGAAATTTAACTGTAATTTGGATATTCAGTTAGACAGGAGGGCACCAGTCAACCTTCTCAATGCCAAGGCCAATGAGCTTTGGTCCTGATCTTGCAACTGCTTCCCTCGCCCGATGCTGCCAGCCTCTCCTCCTACAGAAACTCTCCTGACCTGGTTTCCATGAAATGATGCTCTCCTGACTTCCTAGCAAGGAAGAGAGAGAAGGAAAAAAAGTCTCTTCTGAGAAAGTGACTTAGGGTGGGTTCCCAAGAAGCAGAGCCCGTGGCAGGATGGGGATGCCCTGAGTCAGAGGGGAGGGCTCTCGGGATGCGGGCAGTGAGGGAAGCAGGACGGAGCAGGAGCTGAGAAGAATGTGACCTCGCACAGAGGCTAGCCTGCTCCCGCGGGCAGCTCTGGAGCATGAGTTGCACCAAAAGTCGGACCCACCTGGCAGAAGGAGACCAGCCCCGGATGCCCCGGTCAGTCAGTCAGTCAACGGAGCCCGCAGCTGGGGCAGCTGCTCATTGGGAAGCTGCTGTTTGACTGAGTGCAAGTCTGCAGAGAATGGGGGCAGCTGTGAGTCATTAGCACCCAACACCCACAGCAGCTGGGAGAGCCTCAGTTACACTGGAAGGAAGGGAGGAAGGGAGGAAGGGAGGAGGGAGGAAGGGAGGTTGCACTAAGTGATCACCAGAGAAGTGCTCGAGGGGCAATAATAATTCTCATTATTGCAATCCTCCTGGAAAGCCAACCAGGTCAGTAGGTAGGTGTTACTAGCTTCAGTTTATTGATGTGGGAAACAGGGGGAATTTGTCTGAGATTTGGAAGGAGAAATGAAATGATCCCCCACTCCCAGAAAATGACCCACCAATGTGAGAAAGTGTCAGATTATTCACTTTTGAAGAGCAGCCTACAGATCCCAAAAGGACCTCAACAAACCCTGATCCTGGGATGAAGGAGCAAGTACCTGAGACCTCGATTTCCGGTACTACTTCACCTTTCTCGGCCTCAGGTTCCAAGTCTGTATAATGGGTGGGACATTGACTGTGGCAGCCTGCCTGATGGTCTCCAACAGCAGCTACATCCTAAGCTCTGGACCCCGTGAATGTTCCCTCACACAGCAAAAGGGACTTTGCAGATGTAACTAAATTAAGGATTTTGAGATGGGAGATTATCTTGTATTATCCAAGTGAATTCTAGATAAAACCACAAATGTCCATATAGAGGGAAGGAGAGGGAGATTTGACACAGAAAAGAAGGCCAAGTGAGCACAGAAGATTCCAAGAAAGAGGATGCTAACTGCCTGGCTTTGAAGAAGGATGCCACAAGCCAAAGGGGGCAGGAGTACTCCAGAAGGTGGAACAGCAAGAAAGTGGATTCCTTCCCTGAGCCTCCAGAAGGAACGACCTCGCCAACATGTTGACCCTCAGCCCCAAAGACTCTCTGAGCCCCTGACTTCCAGAACTGAGGATAACTCTGTATTGTTTTGAGCCACTGAATTTGTGGTCATTGGTTATGGCAGCACTGAACATCGTTTCATTCTTAGGAAAATTGTGGAACAGGCTACATCTTCCCCAGGCCCAGGGTAGGGCCAGGTTGCTAGTGGAGACTTGGGGGATGGGGGAGTGTTGGGGGTTATAACTCTAGTTCCCCAAATCACAGCTGCTGGAATCCTGTCTTCCTTGGAAGCTTCCTGAGTGTTCTCACAGCACGACCTCCCCCTCGGCCAGGAACAGGCACAGGAGAAGGATGGAATTCAGGAAATGTCTGTCTGATTGGCTTTGAAACTGGGTGTTTGCAGATCAGGCATCCTGAGTGTGAATAAGGCTGAGTCTGGAACTGGGCCAGTGATGGCGGCTGTGACCTATAGGAAGATGTGCAGGCCTGGAATGTGTGTGTTGTTCCAATGTACAAATGCTTGTAACACTCAGGCTGCTTCACGGGGCCCCAGATCCCCAGATAGAGAAGGACATGGGGTATAGGGAGGGGAGCTGTCCCCCCACCTCCGCCACCTATTTGCCCTGTGACTTTAGACAAGTCCCCCCAACCCTGCTCTCTGGGTCTTTACCTCCAGGCTGAGACAGGAGTGGGTGAACTGGGTGATCTGGGGAGCCCGCCTTCTCTGACACTGGGTAGTTTCAGATTCCTGGTCAGGCTCGCAGCCAGGCAGGCTGACCCCACTGGACACTCAAGATTTAGAGGAACACAGAGCCAAAGGCTCAAGAAAAGCAAATCCCAGGGTCTCCCAAAGACAGTTAGAGAGGCAGGACAGAGAATGTACTGTTAAAATATTGTGTCTAAAAACATATCGAGGCAGCTACAAAATGCATACTGCATTTGTATCCCAAACCGACAGAAATGGAGTGGAGACATCAGCCTTAAGCAGATACATTTACAGAGACAGGAGTAAATCTTCCTCCAGCAGCCTTTGTTGGTCAGAAAACACATAAATTGAGCATCAGGGAAGTAAGGTGATCGGAAAGGGGTCAGGGGCCCCAGCAGCGTCTCAATGACTGCACTGCCGAGGGATCTTCTCAAACTCCATCTCAGCAGCCTGGGAAGAGAGAGGCCTCTTAACCAGAGTGGAGTGATCTGGGGGTGTTATTGTCATTTACAGGCCCCCCACCCCGTGGCAGGCTGAGGTGGCTGAACTTGGAGAGCGAAGCCACGTGCTCAAGGTCAGGAAGCTACAGAGCAACCAAGATGAGATTCACAATCAGGCCTGTTGAATGAACCCCAATCCCCCAAGTTCTGAGCCTCCAGGGAAGAACTGTGGAGATGAATTCAGATGATGTTCCTTAGAGCAGGCCAACGTCAGTCATTGACCGAAAGTCCTGGAGGTTCTGGGCACATGTCTAAACTTCATAATGGTCATGGGAAAAGGAAGTTATCATGCTGGTCCAAAAGCCAAATGTCTATTGCTCTAACGAGGACAAAAACAAGGATGGAAGGACCAAGCACGGCCTAGACTGGTCCTTCACGTACCTCCAAGGCCAACAGGCACTGGCTTGCTCCCAGGAAGGACTATTTATAAGTCAGAGCTGAACGTGGAATGGGCTGCCACAGAGGTAGTGAGTCTCCCATCACTGGGGGTATTCAAACGGGAGGTCTTTCCAAACTGCAGACTTGACAACATCAACCTCCCTCTTGGTGTTTCAGGCCTTTCCCATCTGCCCTCGCCAACTCCCAGTCTCAGGCACACCCCTTTTCCACCAGCATCTTCTCCACAGCCCCAAACTTTTCATCTCTCTGTCTTTGACCACACTACCTCCTCTGCTGAAATGTCCATGAGCTCTTTCTATACCTCAGGTCTCTAAAATACTTTTATAGATCTGTTCAAAGGCTTCTCCTTGACCAGTCACACCCCAAGCCATTTTGGGGACCTTTCCTCTACGCTCCCCTGCAATTGACTTTATTTGCCTCCTTCCACACCTCTCTGGTGGCCATCTAATAGCTATGCCTCTGTTCCCCCATCACCAGCACCACACAGAACTCTAAGCAGGCCCCCGTTAATGGGTTTTGCATGAGAGTAACCAGCTTCTGTGGTTTGCCTTGTTAAGCCAAGCTTGCTGCCTTCTAGCCTTTCCAGAGAGAAAATCCGTGCCCTGGCATGCCCACAGCCCTGCCCCACCAACCTGAAAACTCTAGGCCTGCAGGGGGAAGGCCAGGAAGCCTGTGGTTCATAGCTAATCAGGTCGTCTTTGAAGCTAAGACCATAACAATTTTATTTAAAATTTTTTTTAAATTTAAAACTCAAGGAAGAAATCATCAGGAAGCTCAGTTAGAGGCCTCTGGGCTCAAAAATCGTGAAAGGCAGTGATATTTAAAAAATAAGAATACTTTCCCAACTCTCAACGGGCACACTGAGGTTCTGGGGTGTCCGGCCATTTGCATCCCATCCCCCATGAACATTATAACACATCTCCCCAGCCTTGCTCTGAATCTCTGCTGTTCAAACGCTGAAGACAATTCTCTAGCACGTGGCCATGCGCACCAGATGGTGAGCGTTTCTTCTGGCAGGACACAGCCCCACCCCTTCCTCAGAATGGGACTGCAGGGGGGCTGGCTCTTGGTTGAGAACCCACTGATAGACGGAAGTCACAGCCCTCCTCTTCCCAGGAATTACACGTGGAGAGCTGCCCAGGGCCCCTGGGTTTTCAACCATCTTCTCCCAGGATCCCTGGCACAGGGATTCAGAGGGTCCCCAGGGGGTGATATTTCAGGCCAGGGCCCTTCTTTGGTGGCCTTGCCCAGGAAGCCTGCTGGTGGATTGGGCGGGGAGCAAACACAGGGGAATTTTCCCAGGTCTGCCTCAAGGCAGTGCAGTTTTTATTTAAATCCTCATACACCAAAAATTGATGAAAAATTGTACACTGACCATACTGCAATTAAAAAAAGCTCTAAACCAACCAATCAATCAATCATTGTGAGCAGTGATCCCAGGAAGTCACTGGGAAGTTAACACAGGAAGAAGCACGAACAGCCTGCTCTTGGCAGAGAAACTGCTGGAGAAGTTCAGGCAGAGGACCAGTTGGTTCCGAAGAGGAAATGCACAGCTGCAATCTGGTCCCCGATCTGACCAGCCAGCCTCCCACAGGCATCCCAGTTCTTCCAGTCAGAGGGAGGAGGACGCCGGCCCACTAGCTTTAATCACTCCTTTGGGAAAAAACCCTTCACATGAGGGACTGCACAAACTCCTCTGCCTCTCTCTTCTCCCCCTTTGCAAGACAAAGCAGAAGGCCATTTATCACCCATGCTGGGGTCTGCCTATGTGTACTGGTCAGGAGAGGCCAAGGTATGTGGCTGTAACAACTAGCCCCCACTTTCAGTGGCTCACCTCAACAAAGATTTTGTCATTTGTACTGTATGTTCAGGGCAGGAGAAGGGAAGGCAGCAAATCACACACTAGCCCTTAGAAGTCCTGCCCAGAGTGACACACATACCTCCCCTTACATTTCATGAGCCCCAGGTAAGTCAGAGTTCCCACCTAACCTTAACAGGCCAGAGAAGTACAATCCTACCATTTGCCCAGAGGTCAACAGAAAATATTTGGTGAACAGCATGAAGAACTTCAGCAGCTTAATAGTAATAACAATAACAAGGATAAAATACTCGAAGAAGCCGACGTTTACTGGTATTTACCATATACCAGGCATTGGGCAAAGTGCTTTCCATCCTTCATCCCATTAATATTCACAACAGGCAGATGTTAATACAGCCTGAATTTACAGATGAGGAAATGGAGACTCATGAATTCCAGGGGCTTGCCTGAGGTCAGCTGATTGGAAAATTGTGGATCTGGGACTCGAACCCAGGGCTCTAAGGCTCATCAGACTATGCTTTAACCACTCGACTATCCTGTTCCCATATAGTCAGTGCCCTTCAGAATGGTGAAAAGGCAACTACACCGACTTTGAGACAGAAACATTACTTTCTTGTTTTATCCAGTCACGTGTAAAAGGTGGTCTCCAGGTCCAGGAGCAAAATGATTTGTCTACCATCCAACCAGCCTGCCCGTGGCACGCCAGACCCCGTACCAGGCAGCTGTTAACTGTTGTCTCCCCTAATTCTTAACATGCACCTGGCAGGTAGGTCTCACTGTCCCCATCTTGCAGTTAGGTAACTTGAGGCACACAACTAATTACAGCAGAGTTTTAAACCCCTATCTGGCTGGCTCTGAGGCTTGTGATGACCAAGGAAGACCTCTTCGTGGGGAGGTCAGCCCAGGTAGGTGTGTGACTGGAGACGACTGGCTGGGGAGGGGGAGGAGGGAGGAGAGAGGGGAGTCCCTGAGTCCATACAAATGTGGGTGTGCTTTTCCAGCCCAGCCTCTTCCTTTCTCACTCCAGAGGGAGTGAACCTTAGGCAGGGTGGCCTCGGCCAAGTTGTTAAAAGTCCCCACTGGCAACTCCTCCC